TTGGTGTTCTCTAAATAGTCTGCTTATTAATCCCAATAAGACGAAATTACTTGTGTTCGCAACTCGTTATATGTTGAAACAGATACCGGCAGATTTCCATATTTTACTATTGGGGAAAAAACTGTTTCCTGTGACCTCAGCCACTGATCTAGGCGTGACACTGGATAGTGGTTTGACGTACGATGAACACGTCACAAAACTGGTTCCCTCTTGTGTCGGTAGCCTGTGTCAAATTAATAGAGCAAGGCACCTTTTTGATATGAAGACGTTAATTCTTTTAATAAACGCGTTGGTTTTTAGTAAACTCTATTACTGTTCAACCATATGGTCTAATTCATCGAAGAAAAACATTGCAAAATTGCAAAAAGTTCAGAATTTCGCAGCACGTATTGTCACGGGCACAAAAAAATTCGACCATATCACTCCATCTTTAAAACAGCTTAACTGGTTACCAGTCAATTATATGTTGCGATTCCGAGATACAGTAATGGCTTATAAATGTGTTAATGGTATGGCCCCATCATATTTATGTCGTATGTTCCAAACAAGATCACAATTACACAATTTGAACACAAGATCTAGCGAATTATTGGAAATACCTTTATATAGAACAGCGACCGGACAACGTTCTTTTCGCTACCGAGCTTCTTGTTTATGGAACAGTTTGCCAGAATGGCTAAAAGACCATAATCTTAATTTGGAACGTTTTAAAAGCGGGCTACGAAGTTATTTGGTTCAACAATTTCTCGATGAACAGAACAGAATTACATCTTTTACTGACTAAATTTTAAATTAAATAGTATTAATAAGTATTTTACCTTAAATATAACTAGCTTGATATTATATATTTTGGTGTTAATAGTATATTATATAGTTTTTAGAATATAATTTAATTAAGTAATTACTTTTTATAACTTCTGTATTGAACACTGAAAAACCCTTCTGGGAGTGTTTAACATTAATAATAATAATAATAATAATATAATGTGTTTAGTTAGGTTGCTGTCGTGGCGAACAAACGTGCCTTGAAAATATTCACCCCGCTGTCATGTAGCCCACGAGGAGTTTTCACGAACTTGCGAGTGACTTTTAAATGACTTCTTTTAGATTTTGACAGGACAAGTGTTATGGGAGGTTTTTTCCTTTCAAATGTAACATAATGTTTTCAATTTTTGGATTGGGACTATTCTACAATGAAGTAATCTTGGATGCTGTAGTCTAAATACATAAAAAGACGAAGAAATAGCATTTATCGGGTAGAGAAGCGGCGAGCCATTGCAATGGCGCCATATTTCACGAAATATCGAAGGACACAATATCGAAGATAAAATACACTGCACTGTTTCACAACTTGATGAAACTTGGCTGAAATCTTCTTTAGCCATTTATGATTATGTAAAGGTACAACAATTGGATGATATTTGCGAGACTCGGCGTTAAAAAGCAAACAAGGCGGCAAAATATGGCTGAAATCGTGTTTGGTGGGGGGGTGAAATAAAGTTTATTATATTTAAAGAAAACAATGACAACCCTTATGAAATCCACAATAATTATATTGAATTAAGCATAGTTTTTCATCCCATGATAATTTCTTTTAGGAAATAAGAAAATTTAATTTCTGCCAGGCATGTTAATTATACAAGAAAAAACATACTCCGAAGAATAACATCTTGTAAACTCAAGATATGAGCTATAACACAAGACAACAATTTTGCGGTGATATCTCGACTCTATTTCAAAGTCATTGTCAAACCAGAATAAGCTATTTACAAACTTGCTATCATATTATATACAAAGAAACAGGAAGAGATGACGTATTAGAAACATTACACTATTGACATACAATGATACTAAATTAAGAAAAGACCACGAGTTCTTTAGACGCTCTTAATCCGTTATTAAGCACGGGCTTTCTGTATTTAATATACAGAGCTTCAAGGAATAGGAGAAGGTTGGAATTTGTGTGCTTAAGAGTGTGAAGAGTTTGAGTGTTAGTCTGGATGAGATTGTGAAAAGAGAGCGGTGTGTCTAGTTTGACTGTGTCACTGTCATTTATGTCATTAAGGTTGTCAAACATGTGGTTCAAATTAAGGATGAAATTAGCATGTTCACATTCCGACAGATGTTTTGAAATCGAACTTTTTTGTGGATCTGAGTGTTCCGATAATCGAGTAGCCAAATTTCTTTCTGTTTTGCCTATGTAGGAACTGTTGCAACCAGGACAAGTGCTTAATAACGGATTAAGAGCGTCTAAAGAACTCGTGGTCTTTTCTTAATTTAGTATCATTGTATGTCAATAGTGTAATGTTTCTAATACGTCATCTCTTCCTGTTTCTTTGTATATAATATGATAGCAAGTTTGTAAATAGCTTATTCTGGTTTGACAATGACTTTGAAATAGAGTCGAAATATCACCGCAAAATTGTTGTCTTGTGTTATAGCTCATATCTTGAGTTTACAAGATGTTATTCTTCGGAGTATGTTTTTTCTTGTATTTTATTAAATTGTCTGCTGGTAATGTTAATTATTTTATGCACAATTAGCAATTTACCTGGGGTGGTGCATGGTCATTTTCTTGTAGAATATATTACACTTAGACATATTTTCCTTCCAATAACCACTCTTAAAAGCAACCCTTCTACACACTATAAGCACTTCAAAAGGTTCTCGCTTTTCCTTTTTGGAAGTTAGAGCTATGTCGACACTGCCGTTTCAGGGCGGGGTCATTTTCAGGACTTTCGCCCGGGATTCAGGCTTTGACATATATGCCATGTTGACCGCCATGGTCATTTTACCTTAAAACAGTTGAGATTACCTGTCCTAAATGAAATGCATACAAACTCATATACAGGTCCTAGACTACTTTGAAATAACTCAACTGTAGTTAAATAAACACCCTGAAATTAACATGCAGTGCAGCATTGCACACTTCCCATTCATGTAGAAGACTGATTGGCTCACTACGTTCATACGAGATTTCAATCTTTACGCAAGCCACTAACAAAAACTTTACTCAAAATTGAACATGACAAGAGCATGCATGAACTTATTAACCGTATTGAAATTTATGTTTGTATAATTGCTTGTTCGAAATTTCGTTCTTCTAAAACTTCTAAAGGCCATGCAGACATAAAAAAGTGCGAATTTATGATGCATTAATGATTTATTAATCTTCAGCACATTACATGTAATTACAGTGAAAGTGCTAGGGATATCGGAACAGGTTACTCCAATTACTGCCGTGCTGTAACTAATAGAAACGCAATGTTAAGATATGGATTAAATGCAAAAAGTTAGAAAGCATAATTTGTACTATTTTCATTTAATACGTTTGATGCAAAGTTGGAAAAGTTTTCGGATTCTCTGTGTCATAAATTTTTAATAGAGCGTCATGATAGTATAGTTCTATAGCATGTGTTTATAAGAATTAAAAGACATGATCTAATTGATCTTGTTTCTTAAATCAGAATTTAAGGATATTTCAGGCTTTAGTTGATTTGATAAAATAAGATGACTGAAAAAATGCCGTGCTTCCAAAGGGGATAATTAAAGTCAGTGTGTTATGTCGCCTGTCTTTTATATGTCTTAAATATTCTTGCAAAGTCAAATTTCAAAGTTTAAATGTCTAAATAAGAATTAAACCATCATCCCTTGCGCGCTCAGAGTTTAAGGTTTAACTTTTTGGAAGGACAACCTTAATTGAATTAGCTATGTATCATAAACAATGTACCACTAACTGTTCCTCAAACGGCAGACATCACAATTTTCACTATCATCTAACCTTTTTTGATACAATATATTCTTGCACAAAACCAGACACTGCGTTGTCAACATAGAGTTGATTCCGGCTGGGTTACAACTGCCATATTCAGTGAAACGAGAAGAAGGATTATGTGGATTTGAACTTGTACACTCCCAGCTTTCAATTCAACTTGGTCTATATACGTTTTCATTTAGAATTTGTTTCAATTTGTATTGCATCATTATTCGATATCGATATTGACCATCCAATTTCTGGAGGTTGTATATATATCTATATATTTATATGTACTGTTGAATTAATTGGCCTAAAATTAGAAAACGTGAATCCCAAAAATACCATTTCCTGCGATTTGGTCATATAATTCTTAGCTGCAGTTTGACTTTAAGAAGATGCAAAATTAAAACTGTGGCAAGTGTACCACATTTTGGTCAAAATTCAAATATTTGATAACCAATTTGATGAAGATCATGCACATCTTTGAAAAATCTATTCGTGATAGCCTACATTAAATCTTTGATAGCTTCGCTCAATGCCAGAGCCCATCATCATGATTATATAGGAGCGACTGGCAATAGATGAACATTATTAATAATATCAGTGGACAATGAGCATTTCTTCCATAAGGAAACCAAACAACACTAAACACATGTGTTTACTACATGCCATACACACTCCTGTATAGTCGAATAATATAGCGAATTTTTGAAAGAATTGTAAGCTGGATAACACGAACGACGAATTTGCAATAGACCATATATATACTAACACATCTGAATTACTTTCTTTCATTTGCCGTATTTTCTTTGAGCTCGATTTGACTTTCTCCTTTACTTTTCGAACAATTGTTTAAACGTCTACTTTACACATTGTGCTCAATTTTATTTGGTTAAAGTCGGGGCAATTATTATGCCAGTTGACTATCGATCACGCAGAACTGAATCAAGCCCTTTTGTAATGCATTCACGCATTTCAGTCTCATCTACAGCAGACAGTTCTGGCGGGTAATATTCTCCAATGATCGCGTTGGAGATAAAGGGTCTCGAAATTCTGGTGGGTTTAATTTATTCCTATAGCTCCATCTTTAAAATAAATTGATTCAAGTTTTTACCATCTTACTGAAAAATTTCACTGATTTTAGCTATTGTATATTCAATTATGTTTTGGTTCATACAAGTATAGCAGCCATAAAGCTCTTTTCTATTTTCCTGTAAGTGTACATAGTATTTGACTATTGACATGGATTCAGACACTATCACCAGATTAGAGTTGAACGGGACGAAGTACGTTAAAATTATTACCAATCGCAACAGCACATTTTGGTATATTTTATAGTTTAGCCGTGATTCAGTTATTATAAGCAAGAACGCTTAGTTATTTTGTTAGGTATGTGGCACGTATTACTGTAAGCATTACAGAATGTGTAGAGTTGTCGATAGAAATAATACGAGTTTTAAAAAGCTGCAGTTCTTAAGGTTATGACGGCAAGTATTAAAGCAGCGTTGTTCACGTTCGGTTATTGCAACTTGGATATATAAGTATCATATATAATTATCTGTGAGTAGAAGTGTATTTTTACCGTGACAGCGGATGACGAAATAGAATTTCTATTAATCGATCATTAAGCAGTGCGCTAGGTCTGCAACAGCATGTCTTCCAATTGACGTCAGGAGTGTAGTTTGTACGAATATTCCCACAATTCATGCGGGCTTAACAATAATTTA